TTGTTAAGTTCCGGTTTTGTTTGGACCCCAAAGCAGATACTGATGCAGGTAAGTAACAAAAAAAGGTTTATTAATAACAAGAAAAAACAAAAGAGCAGGCAGTGGAGGCAGGGAGCTGGCTGGCTCGTAGAATATTCACCGAAGGATGGATTGAAAAAACTCAGGCACACGGTGAGGCACAAAGGACGACCTGAGCACAACAGGAAAAAAAACCACAGGTAAGTTCAAAAGAACTCTAGCAACACTAGAAGAACAGGCAGCAAAAATACGGCTATGCAACAAGTTGATCACAAGATACAAAATGTAAGAACACAGAGCTCTACCGAACATGACGGAATTATCTGGCAGCATAGTGGAGTGAAGACCAGGCTTTTATAGACAGGAAGATGAGGTGAGTGAAGACAGGTGTGCCTCATCTGCTGCTGCAGGAGAAGCCAGCCACACCCCCTGACACACACATGCACTGCAGAACAGAAAAGAGGGGAGGGAGAGAGAGCAAACACAAAAACATACCACAGGAACCAAAATTATCACAATACCTGGGTCATTCCACAATTGGAGGACAATTTAGACAACAAAACTTTTGAAAAATTGACCCTTTATTTTATAATTTTCTGTTATGTTTTTAAGAAGAACAGGTAATAAACCATCAAATAATTTGATTCAACCAGCTCAGACATCAAAGATACACTTTATATGAAATTTTTTATTTTTTGTCTGCCATGCTTGATGCAACCCTGTTACCAATACTCAAGACCCTGAAAAAAAGTGTATTTTAAAATATTATTGGTTAAATACTTTACCAATACATATAAAATAGTCACATTTACATTGTTTACTCATTTAAGTTCAGATAACACAGATAATACAGAATCAGATAAAACTTTTTAAATCATCTTGTCCAACTTTTAAGATGTCACACATTATTTTTTAGTTATTTTAGTATTTATTTATTAAAATATTTTCTAAAATACATTCTGCATATAATCACTCATACTATTACAAAGACAATATGTTACACCCTTAAGAGCTGGGAAAATCATTTAAGAATTTTTTTAAAGAAAATTATATGGTAACAGGGTTGAAATTAGAGTAGTGGGGTTGCACAAAGTAACAGGGTTGAATGAGTACATTATTTTGATTGTAGATAATGACATACATTTTATGAATAAATACTCAGAACCCCAGGATTGTTGTTTGATATGGTTTTGTATATCTTTTCAGTAAAGGATCAACCTAAACACACACCACGCTCAGTGGTGCCGTAGAAATCTGAACAAATCAATTTAAACGTTAAAAAATGTCTATTATAGGCTTGTCGTGATACCAGAATTTCAATAGTCAATACCAATACCAGTGAATTTCCACGATTCTCGATACTTATTCGATACCACGATAAAAATAAAAAACAGAACTCATGTATTTCTAAATTCACTACTTTATTAAAACTGTTTTCCACTGCTTCATATGAATTTGAGTCACAGACTGACACTGTAAAAGAAAAATAAATTTTCAGTTCAAATAACACAAGCTCAGAGACTATAAGAAAGCAGCTCATAACGTTATGCATGTAAATCTACAGTATAGTTTGAATTTACAGATATGGTGACAGACAATTAGTCCGATAATAATTGCTTGAAACGCAACGTTAAGTAACATTAAAGACAGTATCGTTAATGTCACATAATGTTAGCCATCTGTTACAGGATATGTTATAACGTAAGGTAGCGAGTACTAGTAGCTGCTGGGGCTGCACGATATTGTAAAAAACTGACATTGCGATTTTATTTTATTTTTTGCAATATATATTGCAATATTAAAAAATACAAGAATTTTCACCAGATGACTTAAAGTAAGAAAATTAAAAAATAGTGGCTTTTACTCACCACAACTGCACAGGCTACCAGCTTCATTTATTTTTTTTATTTTTTATTTAATCTTTATTTAATCAGGCAGTCTCATTGAGATCAAGATCTCTTTTTCAAGAGAGACCTGAGAACAAAGGAACATCCATAACAACAAAAACACACAGACACAAGCAGGAACAACACAACAAGGAATTAATAAAAACGATTACATGAATCATGAAAAACATCGGATAGAGAAGCTTTAAAAACTCCAAGAGGAACAAGAGATTCAAGTTTGAGGGTCGATTGTAACTCGTTCCATTTAAAAGGTGCATAGTACCTGAAACCAGATCTACCAACATTTGTGCGCATGCAGGGGATATCTAAGGTTAGGTAGTTACTGGATCGTGTACTGTAGTTACTGGAATTGAAAGAGAGAAGAGATGTGAGGTAGTTTGGTAGCTTTAACAGTAGAGCTTTAAAAATAAATAACATGAGAT